ATTTCCATCCCTCAAGTATAATTTTCCTGAGCTCATCGTTTTTCAACAATCTCTTATCAAATTTAAAATTTTTGTTCTCCTAGGTTTCTTCTTAAGAATGTCAGCTAGTACCGGACGATGATCCGATACCCAGAGTCGCATATATTTCACTTTGGAATGAGGGAATTTCTCATGCCAGTCCTCATTCCTAACTGCCCTATCGAGGCGGCATCTAATTGTCGTCCTCATTACTCTATTTCCAACCCAAGATAGTATGTTCCCTGTGTAAGGAAACTCCAACATACCACAATCACTTAACTTTTGTCTGAAGGGCAAAAAGGAGCTATATGGGCGTTGTCTGCCTCCTTCCTTCTCTTCATGACAGGTGATTTCATTAAAGTCCCCTATCATAAATCAAGGTCCATCCCTTTTTGTTGAGAATCGCGTAAGATGTTCCCAAACTAAATCTCTTCTTTCTAGTACATGATCCCCATAAACAAATGTCATGTAGACTTTTATTCCATCAATGACTGCCTCAATGTCAGTCATTCTGTTATTTGAAAATAAAACATTAACTTGAAAATCATCCATAAAAAATAAAGCTAAACCGCCACTGAGTCCAAGTTGCTCAACGGTAAACAAACGATCAAATCCTAAGTCGGCCTGAATGTCTTGCAACAGCAGCCTTCTATTCTTCATCTCATAAAGAAACACAAGTCATGGGCGATGCTTCTGACACATCTTCGTAAGGCATCGAACTGTGAGGTCGCTTCCAATCCCTCGACAGTTCCAACTGATTATCCTCATGGATGGGTTATTGGGTCCCATCAAACCATCCCCCGTGCTCGAAGCTCCTCTTGTTTTCTTTGACCTATGAGAAGAGTTACGTGCTCTCTCCTTCTCACCATTGGACTTGTGTAATTATTAAACTATTTCTTTTGACTAAACTATTTCTTTTTGATTACTTTCAGCCATAAAGAAATAGTTTATGTAATTATTAGTTAATCATTTAATATATACTATATATTTTTAGTATAATTACCACACAATAGTTGTTTAGCACTGGTCAAATCATCGAATACATCATTATATAATATTTATTTTATTAGATATGATGGTCAATTACCTATAGCATATGTGAACATGATAAACAATTTCATGAACATCAATTCCATGATGTAGCTATTTCATAACAGTTGGATGTCACAGATGTTTTCTGCATGTATAACATCATCGGTGGACAGGCTCTCTCAGCAATATACGACCACAATGAATGGTTCTAGCTACAACATTTTGGAACCTCCAAAAAGTTTGAATCCTATAATCTATATTAATTGTATTTCCTTTCGAAATCAAACTCCATATCTTGGGTAGAAACCTTTGAAACCAAACAATAGTTTGACAATTTCTATAAATAATTTAATAAGGAAAAGTAGAGTTGAACACCAATACAATAACCACGCAGTATTTAGAGAAATACAAGTCAAAAAAATCTAACCAATTTTTAAGGATTACCGTGCAACACATTACATTATTCTATTTATAAATTAATCTCCATCTTAAATTGTAATTAAATATCAAACTAGTAACCCTAAAATAAAAAACTCTAATAAAAGTGTCTTTATCATAAGAATATCTTGAAGAACGATATGTCTTCATCACAGCTCGCTATCTTTTGCATCATCATGATTGCTTTATTTCCTCTTTATAAATGTATGCATTTATATATTAGACTCCCTTTGTTCATCATGTATCATTATTGGCATTGCAATCACATCATGATATCTAAGTGATATTGTTATTAATTTTTTTTGTTTATATAGTTGTCGATGGCCAAGGTGTTAAAGCAGGTAATAAACTTAACCCATCTTGCGCACCAGTCAATTACGATGCTAAAAACAAAAATTCGTAGTTGTGCTGTTTGTTACTATCCCTTACAAAATAGGACAAGTGCTTTGAAGAGCATATCAGAATGCACTGCTGTGTGCAAGGCATAAGTTATCTCTGAATAGCACCGAATAAACGTTTTTTTAATACCTAATTTATCGAGAAAATGGTCAATAAAACCATAAATTTTCAAATTAAAGCCAAAAAAACCTTCAACTCATATTTGAGTTAAAAAATCCATAATTTTTAAATATTTTCCGTTTTAACTCTTATATTCTGTTGAGCTGGCCATTTAAGAAATTCGAATAGTCAATTATTAAACTCGATTACAAAAACAGGAGTTTGTTAATTCTGTAAACAACATTGTTTTAAAAACTAATTAAACATTAATCAAACATTAATCAAATAATGTTGTTTTGCTTTTGTAAACACTTAAGGCATCTTATTCACAAAACCAAAACCCCAAATAAACTTCATCTTCCTCATTTTGAGTCAGGAAGATGAAGTCAATTTGGAACCCTAGTTTCGCGGAAGAGATGCATTAAGTGTTTAAAGAACCAAAACAATGTTGTTCGACTGATTTTTTTTAAAAGATATAGTTTACAGAGTTAATATAATCTATTTTTATAATTGCGTTTAAGATTTAACTATTTAGATTTCTTAAATGACTGAGTCAACAAAATATGAGAGTTAAGACAACCAATATTTAAAAGTTGAAGATTTTTTGGATCAAAGACGAGTTAAAGGTTATTTTTAGCTTTAATTTGAAAGTTCAGTGTTTTAATGGCTGTTTTCTCCTAATTGTTCGGCTCCCTATTTGATTATAAGAACAAAAGCTTATTTTGAGTCCAACAAATAAAATTTATGCTTTTGTATATGTGTTTAGAGACTTCTATGGTATACGTAATACACGATAGTTTGACCTATTTTTCTCCCTTTTTTGTTTTTCTATTAACTTTTTAAACAAAAAAATATTTCTTCTGGTTAATAACAAAGAGTAAGTCTTTTAAACTTAATAGTTTGTTATCGTAAATGGTAAGTTATTTTCTATTTTCATATACACCATATGACTACCACTTATTAGTAAGGAAAAAACATAGATCAAAAAGGAAACATAGAGATTTTCATTAGTCTACCCAATCACTTAAAAAAATAATAAAAACTTATATTAGTATCATTTATGTACTCTCATTTATGAAAATAATAATCAATTTGAACTGAAAAAATTAAAATTTAAAATTAAAAAAGTGGTAACTCTTATATGTTTGTTCTTAATCCTTTTGATGTTATCTAACTTTTACGAATTATTTTCTGATATTAACTATTTTCTATAATTCTAAACTAATAGTATTATTGTATAAGTGAAAAGGATTATTTTTTTCAACAAGAAAGAACTTTATTATTTCTAACTAGTAACTGGTCCAGAGAGTCGATGGTGTTGAATCAAAACAAATCATAGTAGAAGGAAGATTTCAAAAATCTCGTGAATCTTATTCGCTATTGTATTGTTTGTTCTTAGAATTAGATAGATTATAAATTTTGGGAAGAAATCCTTACATCGTTGCAATTCATCTAAGTGGGTACATGATACGGTCTTTCCATCAATTAAGAGCAATCTATTGCGGATTCCACCTCTAAAATATGTAGAATCTTCATGATTTCCATTGCCAAAATAACTGCTTTGCATTCGACATGTAAACGTGATAGGTTTCGTCTCATATTCATAGCCCCGTGACTTTTTCATTTGAGGTTCCAAAAATGTAAACATATATCCTTTTGAAATAAAATTTTATTACAAGCAGAAGGAATAATCTTTTTGACATCACCACGTTTACATGCTTTGAGATATAGTTCTATTATTATTATTTTCTAGTCACAGTATTCATGTGAAAACAAATACTTAAATAGGCCTTGAACTCTTGAAACACGGTGTCACCATGAGAAAACTATAAAAGATATTCAAATCATCAAATATGAACTAGAACATGAAATTTAGTACCTTAGAAACCAAACAAAAAAGACAGTGGTCTTTAACAGATCGATAAAAATCATAATCTTTCAAAGCGGCATCTAGATTTTCAAACTAGTACTGAATAGCTTGGTTTAGTCCAAATAACAACTTAAAAAAGATGATATCAACATTATTAAAAGGATAACAATGTGTTCTCATGCACCATATACAGAAAATAAAGTTTTAAAATTTAAATTCTATTTAAAAAGAAAATTTTGTTAATTTTTAGATTTTTTATTTGCTTATAATTTAATTTTAAATTCTAATGTAACTATATGTAAAAACAAGATCAAATTAATATCTTTATTTGAATTATATTTAATTATATGTATGTATATTATTTGAAATTAGAATTTTGAAAATACTTTTATCTATTTCATTTGGTTATATATTAAATCAGATTCTTAAATATTAAGAGAAAGTTTTGTAAAGTATATAATTATCAAAACGTAAAACTAGCGTCGATCGACAAAAAAGATACGTCTCTCATCTCTGACAGACAGAAATGGTAACACCAGTTATTTTGATTCATGATGCTGAGAGAGTCATGTGTGACCGTGAAGGTCACCTACGTAATGTACAAGACAAAAGATTGATGATTAGAGGGCTGTAATCCCTTAGCCAGAAGCAGCTGCTGTTGTTGCTACTAATAAAGAAAATGCTGGAGATTAACAAAATCAACCGAATAGAAATTGATGAAAATGCTGGTAAATTTGGCACCATGACCATAGTAGACAAGAAATTAAGTATATAGCCATAACATCTCATGGCTGTGATATTATACATAATGTTAAGAAAATTTACCAAAACAAAAATACTCCAACATGCACAAGGACAAATGATAGTTTTCATGTGGTGTAGAAAGTGACATATGCTGTAAATGGTATGTCAATACTATATGGTAGATGTAAGTAGTATAATTAACCCTTTTTCCAAATAGTTCAATTTGTTTTTCAATATCTTCTATATTCATGGCTTTGGTTATGGCCTTTTTGTTTTTGTTTTGAATTGTGTAACTCCATCCCACGTTGTAACTAGGTGTGGACTCGTGTATGTTATTGTTGATGTGTGTAGTGGCTACATAATTTATATATCTATCAGGCTGCAACTATTAGGCGCCACAATGAGACTGCAACTAGCATTGAAGAAAGACAGCGAAGTGGTGATTTTTTTTCCAGTTGATGCCCTTGATAGGGAGCATGTGGTACCGCTACTGCCAGCGTCTGACAAGACTATACACCCAATTGTAGACATGTCAGTAGTCAAGGCCCCTCGAGTTTTCTTTAGTCATGGTGTTATCAAATCCATAACTGTAAGTACCATGTAAACGTTGAGTGTTGAAAATGTGTGAATAAAACGATACTATAGTATGGAGCAGTAAATAATAGTATGGAAACAATGTATTTCATACAAGTTACATATATTTTCTTAGTTGGGGACAATACTATAGTGTTGGTATATCTTGGAAATGTTGATTTATTCTTATATTTTGCAGGTTGCATCACTTGGGGCCAGAGTTGCTGATGCCTCCTGTAGCACATAAGGCCAGACCTGACTGCTATGTCACCACATAAGCCCCTGACGTAGATCTTCCTCCATCGGGTCATCCAAATTCACCCTTGTGGTACCAACCGCTCGTTTCCTTGCGCATTTTCTCAACCATGTTAATCTGGACTGTCTTAACTGCGGTTCAATCTCCTTGTATTAATCGTTAATTCATATGTTAATTCCCACAATGTAACAAATATCAAGTTTCCTATGTAGAATATCCAACAAATAAGTATGCATGAATTGTGTATTTTTTGTGTTAATTTCATTATTATACTATATAATATATAATATAGTATAGTTTTTCAAATGAGCATACACACCATTATAGTTTGTATACTAAAGTCATCTATAGTAGATTTCACCTTACGTTGACGAGTATTATGAGCATACACGCCAATTTAGGAGCTCCTTAAGTTGACAAGTATTATGCTATGTTTTTTATGCATTTAAACAACACATTTTTCATGCGTGATTACTTTTCCTCGATACACTATGCAATTTTGTATGTTGATATGTTGTGTTACATTTTCGACTATACTATAAAAATTTTACAATAGCATAGCTTGTCTGGTGTTCGAATACACATAGGTTAAAGTATATATGTATCCAGTCTAGTCGGCTCCACCAAGTTGGAGGCCCCTTAGTTCCACCATGAAACATTTGTGTTCTCTTCATCGGTCTATACACTCTCGAACATCATGTTATGCCTTATGCACTGAAAACATTTGCCATACCAAACTCGTCACACTATACTATATGCCATATATTATAGTAGAATTTGGGACCTAATTGACTTCATATGTTTTATTAACATATATATATTGCGTATATAGTACAGTCCAACAATTTCAATCCTGTTATGTTCACCACTTGTATAATTGTATATATCTTATTGAATCGGAGCACACATTCACACCACAGAGACACCTCATTTGTGATTCCCACTCATACATAACTTACTCAATATGGGAGCTGACATATTGGTTTTTTTTTTTACACTTTATGATATGACTTTGCATATAATTTAAGTCCAACAGTTCTACCATGGGTTGCTTCTTGCAGCCGTGTACACATTCTCGCAACACCTACACCCATCTATGAAATCTTTGTCTACAAAACATAATGCAATGTGACACATAAGCAACTTGGGTGATGATGTTCTTGATTTTTTTCTGTGATTATACTACATTATATATATATATATATATACATATATATTATAGTAGAGTATTAGCCATGGTATAATACACTTAAATAAGTGTATATACGTTACGTAAAGTATAATTTCTCAAATAAGGTAAGTGTTAAGCAAGAAATGTGCCACTCTAAGTCTCCTGGATTAAACTAACTAACTAACACAATGAGTTATGATAGAGATGTGATTGACTACATCTATAAGATAGATTGGACAGAAAAGAATTGACACATGTCCATTTATTTTTTTCTTTTCACGCGAGTAGAGGGAGAAAAATATCAAAATTTGGCTCTAATTATCACATCATATGGGTTCAACTGTTTTATGGCTATATTATTTATTTTTGGAACTCTTATGATTATTAAGCAAAATCAACTAAATAAAATGAGTTTTTACGAGGGGAATTTATTATATGGCACAAATTCATTGTTTTATTAGTAGATTAGTTATTTTGACTAAATTTTTACACTTATTTTCTCATTTTTTTTATTGAAAAATTTATTTGCATATATGCCATTACTAAAATTTCAAACTCATCAAAAAAAGTTTGTGATATTGTTATAAAATATAATTAATTTATATCACATGAAACATAATAACTTTTTCTTTGCCATATTCATTTCTGCATATATATCCAGGATTTTGTTTGCAATATTGTTTTGAAATAAATTTAATTTCTAAAACATGAAACTACATATTTTCCTTTGATACTTGGAAGAGTAAAAATCTTTCTTTGCTAAATGGAGAAACATTAAAACATGATGGGAGTCAAATTTTGGAATGACAATCGCGAAGTAGAGAAAGAGCTAAAGCCACTCAAGTTCTTTCACACTAGGCATCTCCAACTCCGCTATATTTGTATTCTAAAATAGAGTTATGAGTACAAAATATTCCAATAGTACTCTATTTATCACCCTATGATAAAGTAAAAAATAGATTTACTCTATATATTAGAGTAACTTGTTTATTTTTTTGTCTATCATTCTATTTTCCACACTAAAATACAATATCATTGGAGCAACAACCAAATTTATTATAGAGTTACTCTATTTGAGTGAAAAATAGATTAAACCATTGAAGATGGTCTTAGTTGATCAAAACTTTTTATATCTCAAATGGTTAGAAATACTAAATTTTCTGTCTTCATGTTCTTAAGAGATTTGTTACTAAGATAACAAATATCTAAACAGAAATTGTTTGTTTAATTATTAGTTAGTCATTTAATATTTACTTATATATTTTAAAAATAATTAACATGATATCACTCAAATGTTTAACCCTAAGGAGTGAATTACTCTCTCAAATAAGAGGTTCAATTGTAGTACTTAGGGATCGAATTCACGGGGAGCTAGGGAACCTAATAGATCTAATAGTTATAAGATTAAGCTAGGCTAATAAGTTTTAATGCAGTAAATAAATAAACTTGAAAACAGTAAACAAGATGAACAAGGTAATTGTTCAGCTTGGCAAGGATTNTCTCTCAAATAAGAGGTTCAATTGTAGTACTTAGGGATCGAATTCACGGGGAGCTAGGGAACCTAATAGATCTAATAGTTATAAGATTAAGCTAGGCTAATAAGTTTTAATGCAGTAAATAAATAAACTTGAAAACAGTAAACAAGATGAACAAGGTAATTGTTCAGCTTGGCAAGGATTTGATGGATGGAAGGATGGTAGCTAGATCTAGGGTTTTTATTCAGGTAATCAGGATTATAATACTATAGATGCCTAACAAGTTGCATGCATGATATATAAGAACTTCAATTCTTAGACAAATCTATAGCTATCGCTAGTAGACTCGTCCATTGATCTGTCTGCCGGCAATATCGACCGATGTTGCTATCGCGGTATCGATCGATATGGGTTGCCGTCGATCGATTACTCTATATGAGTATCGATCGATATAGCATAAGATCGAATCGAAACTGTGTTCACAGAGATCATTAGGCCGGCTATCGCTGGTGCCTAAGATCTGAGCTTGTGCAGGATGATATCAGGATGAAGATTAATAAATTAAACTATTCCAGTTCATGGTTCTAGTTCATGACTCTAGAAACAAGCATTAAGAACATCCTAACAATGAATATCACAACTTAGCAATCTATAGTTGGGGCTAATCCCACAACCTATCTGAACCCTAAATCTAATAGGTGGATCTATTCAGACATGAAAATTGTCACAGAAATCATAGATAAATAGATAAGAAATTGCAATAGATATAAAAACCAATGGAGTTCCAGGAGGACTCTGATAGGAGTTCCTCCCTTCTCTCCTAACAAAGAATAATGAATCAAAGAAAGCTTAGATAGCATAGCCGTCAACAATGGCTTATAAATATCATAACTAGGGTTTCTGGTCGTCAAGGGTATTTTGGTAACTTGTGGGCTTCAGTCGGTTATGAAATATAGTCAGCCCACGTTCTGGCATTCATATTGACCGATATGAAGTGTCTTCCATCGATCAACATGCTCATATCTTTTCGACAGCCTTCTCTCACGAGGCAGACTGACCACTCTTCAGTAAAACATGCATAACTTCGCATCTAACCGTTGGATTGACCTCAAAAAAGTGGCATTGGAAAGCTAACTCAAAGATATATCTTGTGTCCAAATATGGGCTAAATCGCACCATGGGAATGTCTCCCATCCATATCTAAACATATGACGCGTCTGCGCAGTTCTGCACTTAAAGGCTCCAAAAGACACCAAAATCACCATATTTCTCCAGGACGTACATGAACATGTAAATACTCTAAAAAGACTCCAAAACATATATAATTATCATAAAAACATATCAATACCATGACTAAAAGTGGGTCAAAATCATGGTATATCATAACACACAATATTTTTTTCTGCACTGGTCAAATCATCGAATAAATCATTATATAATATTTATTCTATTAAATATGATGATCAATTACCTAGAGCATATGTGAACATAATGAACAGTTTCACGAACATTGATTCCACGATATAGCTATCCTATAACACTTGGATTGACATATGTTTCTGCATGTATAGCATCTTCGATGAACAGGCTTTCTCCGCAGCATACGACCACAACGAACAGCTCTGCCTACAACACTTTGGAACCTCCAAAAATCTTGCATCCTATAATCTAAAAGGAATTGTATTTCCTCCAAAAATCAAACCCAGACGTGATGTAGAAGCCTTTGAAACCACACAATGGTTTGACAATTTTTTTATAAATGTTGGGGTCGAAATCGGTCACTACGGAATAAAAGACTAAAAGCCCCCGGAAAAAGCATATGACAAAACTATGGACTTCCTGCGGAGATACTAAGTTACAAAAAGACTCGTATCAAAGTACCAAGCAATTAAAATTACATTGTACGGGTTAAACGACCGAATCACAGACAACGCCAAGTTGAACATACACGGTCCAACTGGCCATCGGACAAGTAAAACTAAGGTCCAACACGCTCGATGGCGAGTTGGACACACCACGTCCGAGTGGCCATCGGGCGAGTAGGACCAAGGTCCAACCTGCCCGATGGCGAACTGTCGAGTTGGAACGTACACAATCGAACTCGTAATCAGGTGAGTTAGATCGATCCTTATGCCTCCCATCTTACCTTGAGCGAATTGTCTCTCTTTTTGTCCCGATCGGAGTTGCCGTTGGATCTTTGCGATCAAAACCGCGAGGAAACACTCTTTCATATGAATTCAAATTGATTGTATAAAAAAGCAACGGATAACTTAAACACATAAGTTGCCTCGGCTAAACGGAATTTTGAATTCATTTTATTAAACTGACGCCGTATCTAAAACGTT